GCGCGGCCACGCCCCGCCCTCCCCCCCTATTGGCCGAGGTATGTTACCCCTTTGCTGCCCATTGGCCGCCGCTCCCCTTCTTTTTGTTTTTTTTTCCTTCTCTTACCCCCCCCCCCCTCCCCAATTCTCCCTCGCTTGGAGTTGTTTTTGTCTTTAGCGCCGCAGCTGAAGAGCGAGAGCCCGCCTGCGCGGCCGGCCGGCGGATCCTCCTGAGCAGTGCTCCCGCCGCGGATCCTCCCGGCGACTCTCGCTCGCCCAGCCATGCTTCTCTCCCGCCAGGTGAGACGAGCATCCCGGTCTGAGCGGGCCGCTCCGCCTCTCCGCGCTTCTCTTCCGGTTGTCTCGGGCGGGTTCATCTCAGGTCACCCGCACTCCAGTCGTCCTCACATGACGCTCATCCTCCTCGTCGTCGTGATGTGAATAACATGTTGACAAAGAGTTCGCAGGCTAGCAACAACTTGCAGATGGCATGTTTGCGCTTGTGGCACTTTCTCGAAATGCAGATGAAACAAACGTCTTCCAAAACCGACAAATCGGCCCAGACGTTGGCTGGCGACCAGTCTGCTCTTTGTCTCTATGTAGCCTGACATTGACTGGTGGCCACTCCAATTTCGCTGTCTTTCTGTGCCTTACATTGGTGGCTGGCTCTCAATCCATTGTTAATCTTCAAGAGCCCTGACATTGGCCAGGGGACCAATCTGCTCTTTTGTCTCCACGTGCACCAAACATCGATGAGCAACAAGTCAATTATTAGGCTAGCTGCCGACGAGTTGTCTACATGTGCGCTGCTGATAACTGGCTGACACAGAACCAGTTTGCTTCCGTGTGCATTCCAATTGCCAGGCGCCAGGCCCATTTGTACATCGGTGTGTGCCCTGCAATCGGCTGGCGTCCAGTTCAGGATGTACCTCACCTCGCGCCCGAAGTTGGATGCATGCAAGTGCATGAATTTTCAGAAAAATCAACTTCCCGTCAGCCGGCCACGCCCCTTCAACCAATGACAGTGTGGGGGGGGGGCTAATACAGACCCACTTTCATCTCTGTGGCCCCGCCCTCTCTCCCCCATTTGTTTGTTGGTCAATCAGCACACAGGAAGGGAGTGACATGATGGGATCCCGTGCTGTTTCTCTAAGTAACCTTTGACCCCCAGGTGGACTTGGAGGCGGCTGAGGCGCTGATCAGCATGAGCTTCTGGGGTCAAAGTCTGCCGGAGCCCCGTCCGCTGACTCCCACCTCCGACTCGTGTGACTCTGCCCCCACACACTCGCATGGCACGGCTTCAGCCAATGAGATGGTGGCATTGTCATCACTGGTGAGAGCGCGATGACACACTCTGACATTCAGGGAAAACATTTGGAGGTGGGGGCTCATGTACTTATACGGGTTTTTCCTGGCTCCAATGGTAGTAAAGGAGGGACCGTTTGGATCACGCCCCACCCCCCCAAATGGCTCACACAAACACTTCTCTTCTGAAACATTCAATGTGAACTATGTGATTGTTCTGCCATGCTGATGACATGATCCGTACTTGCAGTGCATGACTCCGCCTCGCAGTCCCAGCTCAGGTGAGGCTGACGGCACCGCATCCGTCCCACGCCGCCTTCCCGATGACTCTGCTGCAACTTCGGCATTGCCGCCGGAGGACGGCACCGCTACAGCGACCGGCGTGATACGGCGTCACACCACCGACAGACTCGGAGCGCCACCCGCCCCCGCGAAGAATCCTCCAGCGGCTCCCCAGCTTTCATCGCCGTCTTCCTCGCCGCCACCCCTTGTGTCGCCACTCCTGTGCCAGCTTTTCCCACTCGGTGGGCGTCCAGCACTGGTCTCCACTTTGGTGCCGGCGCGGGGCGTCTCCCTGCTGAGTTCGGCCATGCCGCAGGGTGCCGTCGTGCTGGTGGTCCCGCACGCCCAAACGCCAATGATGCCGGGCGGCGCCAAGCTCCTCCCTCTTGCGCCGACACCGGTTTACTCGCCGCCGGGCGCCAGCAGCAGCGTCGGCCAGGACTCGACCCGACGACGCAACTACGTGTGTGAGTTCCCGGGATGCCGCAAGACGTATTTCAAGAGCTCACACCTCAAAGCGCACCTGCGCACGCACACGGGTAGGCGACATCCACTTCTCCATTCTTTGTTTATCTACATGCTCATTGTGACCGAATAGCAAGATTACAAAAATGGATTCCTTTTTTCGACAGGCGAGAAGCCGTTCAGCTGCCGGTGGGAAGGTTGCGACAAAAAATTTGCCCGATCCGACGAACTTTCCCGCCACCGCCGCACACACACAGGTGAGAAGAAATTTGCGTGCGCTGTATGCGCACGTCGTTTCATGCGCAGCGACCACCTGACCAAACACACACGCAGACATGCCAGTGCTAAGAGGCCCGTCGCCACTGCCGCCGCCTCCTGGACCGCCACTCAAGACTCAGGCGCACTTCCTGCTGGCCTCAAGGTCACTTCAGGGTGGGTTGAGGGGGAGGAGCCTCATAGATGCTGAGTTGCAAGTCGCTCTGCCTATTTTGTATTCCAAATCCTCATCACAACTTTTCAACTTTGACCTCAGACCGTCTGGTAGCTGCTCACTAACATTAGTGTCACACACTGGTGACCTTTTGTGCGGAAAAAAAAATGTTGAAGAAGTTAATGTCAGCTCATGTCTTCTGGCGGAGGTCATAAAAACAAGCGCGTATCGTCGTGTTCGGACTAAAACGTGACGCAAAAGACACCTCACTCAGGATTTTTTTTTCAACTTATTGACGACAACAAGATGGCGGCCAGCTCCTTGTTCACGGACACAAACGATAATGTGACATTGCACTACATTTTTTTAACATGTAAAGCTTGTTTTTGTACTCTTTCCTGTCATGTTTGTATACAAGATGTTTACTTTCCTGTTGCATTTGTGTACCAAAGCAAAAATGTCATGATTTCTTCTTAATGACGTGCATACGTGACCTTCTGTATATAATGTTATCTGTTGAGTATCTCCACCATAAACTGTTGATGTTCTCACTGTGATACTACCTACTACTACTAATACTACGTGTGAGTGCGTAAATATTTTGATGATGTAGCCTGGAAGAAAATACCTCATGTTATTGCTTGTGTAGGAAAATAAGTTGTTTTTATAATAAATTGTACCACAAGACATGATGTCGCTTTGCCTTGGTGACAAAGACAGAATATTGTTAGCATGGTTTACAAGCAAAACTCCATTTGTTTCTTTGACTTCCCAAACATTTTTTGCAAAACCATCTCAAAGCTGGATTTCATTCTATAGTATTCATTGAACAGCTGGGATAGCCCCCCCCCCCCCCACACACACACACCCCACACCCTTGTGAGGATAACTGGATCAGAAAATGGATCGGATTGGAGATGGATATTCATTGAATCGATGTCAAATCATAAGGGAAAAAAATCATTTCTAAAAAGCTGTTAAATGCTTAAGTCAAAAGAAAAGTGGTGCAGATCTTTTTATTTTGTCCTTTGAACATTTTAAGATCCTTATCTTATACTATCCGTTTCAGTTCAAACTTACAATGGAAAAGTCTTGACTGAGTTGCTGTTCGAAGGTTCAAAAAGACTACTTTTAGACAGAAAATCGCAGTTGAGTGTTTTGTAAAAAGATGTTGGCGCACTTTTGTAAGGCGAACTTCAATTTTGCCGCGGAATTTGGGTTAGTGACGTAAGGGGGAGTGTACATTCTGATTGGTCGTTCTGCCGCGTACCTTTTAAAGAGATAGCACAAGCTGCCCTCCTATTGGTCCGCAGCGTGCAGCGCGCCAAGGTTTCAAGAAAAAGTTCAGCAACCCCCTTGCAATAGTCAGTCAGCCACCTGCTCGCTTCGTTTTGCGTCTTGGTGATTCTTCTTTCAGTTGTACATTCTGATTGGTCGTTCGGCCGCGTCCTTCTTTAAAGAGATAGCACAAGCTGCCCTCCTATTGGTCCGCAGCGTGCAGCGCGCCAAGGTTTCAAGAAAAAGTTCAGCAACCCCCTTGCAATAGTCAGTCAGCCACCTGCTCGCTTCGTTTTGCGTCTTGGTGATTCTTCTTTCAGTTGTACTCCTTTGAGGTCGTCCACTGTCGTGCGTGCGTGCGAAAATGCAGTCCGTTCGCTCGCCCCTTTCCGCCTCCAACGAGAACAAGCTGAGCGCGGACGTCGGCAGGATGTCGCTGGACAAAGAAAACACGGTGAGCGAACGATAAGCGATTAAGTGGCAAAATATTCCGAGTTGGGTTTGCTCAAGTCTCCTTTTGTGTCTGGCAGCCCCCGAGCCTGAACACGGCGCGCATCTTGGCGTCGAAAACTGCGCGCAAAATCTTCGCCGAGACGCCGGTAAGTGACGTCACATTCAGCCAACTTGGCTTGCCGCGGTTTGGTAGTTTCCCATTGAAATCTTATTCTCGCCCCGCTACCAAAACACCGGTGTTTCTTTTCATGAAAACAGAAGTCTATCTTCGAACAACTAAATGGAAGAAAGCGTTCTGAAATAACTTTTTGTTTCGATTTGTGTTGATAAGGTAGTATTCAAGTGTGGGACGTGTCTTTTGTTGGGGGGGGGGTCTAGCGAGGGACGTCACGATCT